AAAGGCAGAGGAACTACAGATCAAATTGTCATCATTTGTTGGATTATGGAAAAAGCAATGGAATTCCAGAAAACCATCTATTTCTGCTTCATTGACTACACTAAAGCCTTTGTGTGGATCACAACAAACTGTAAAATTTCCAGTGAGAGCCAACTCATTGGAAAAGGCCCTGATGCTGGGAAAGAGTGAAGGCAGGAGAAGGGGGCAACAGAGGATAAGATGGTTAGATGGCATCACTGATTCAATGGACATTAGTTTGAGCAAATTCTGGGAGATAGTGAAGGGCAGGAAACCTGGGGTGTTGCAGTCCATGGCGTAGCAAAGAGTCAGACATGAGTGAGCATTTTAACAACAAAATACATATCTTAGTAAATTACCTTTAACATCAGTGGATTAAATGCTCTAGTCAAAAAACAGAGTGGCAGCTGGATTAAAAAAAACAAGAGCCTATGATATGCCTCCTATAAGAGACCCACTTCAGGGCAGAGGACACATAGATTAAAAGTGAGGGGGTGGAAAAACATTTCATGCAACAAATTACAAAAAAGTGGGGGCTGTAGTACACAGACAAAATAGACTTTAAAATCTATAAAGAAAGATAAAGACAGACACTATATAATGATAAAAGGATCAATACAAGAACAGGATTTTATACTCGTCAACATATATGCATCTAATATAGGAGCACCCAAATACAGAAAACAAATACCAGCAGACATAAAGGGAGAAACTGATGGGTATACAATAATAGTAGGAGACTTTGACACCCTAGTGACATCAATGGACAGATCTTCTAGACAGAAAATCAGTAAAGCAACAGAGATCCTAAATGATACAACAAAGCAGTTAGGCTTAGTTTATATTTTCAGGATATTCCATTTTTAAAAAACCCACAACACACTTTCTTTTCATATGCACATGACACATTCTGTAGGAATTAACCACATACAAGGGTACAAAATAAGCCTCAAGAAATTTAAGAGTACAGAAATTATATCAAGCATCTTTTCTGATCACAATGGCACAAAACTAGAAATTAACCACAGAAAAGGAAGAAAAATCAATTACATGGAAACTAAACAACATGCTACTAAAAAAAATCAATGGGTCAACAAGGAAATCAAAGAGGAAATTTTAAAAAATACCTTGACAGATGATAGTGAAAGCATACAAAATTTGTGGGAATGCAGCAAAATTATAGGGAAGTTCAAAGCAATATAACCCTTCCTCAAAAAAACAAGAAAAATCTGAAATAAACAACCTAACCTACCACTTGAAAAGATTAGAAAAAGAACAAACAAAACCTAAAGTTAGCAGAAGGAGGAAAATAAAAGATCAGAGAGGAAATAAAATAGAGATTTAAAAAAAATAGGAAAAAATAAACACCAAGAACTGGTTCTTTGAATGGATAAAAAAGATTGACAAATCTCTGGCCAGGCTTACCAGGAAGAAAAGAGAGGAGAACCCAAATAAGCAATATAAGAAATGTAAAAGGAGACATAACAACCAATGCCACAGAAATACAAAAAAAATGAGAGAAAACTATGAACAATTCAGTGCCAACTAATTTGACAATCTAGAAGAAACAGATAAGTTTCTAGAAACATACAGCCCACCAAAATTGAATCAAGAAATAGATAATTTTAGATTACTAGAAGTGAAATAGAATCTGTAATTATACTATCTTAGACTTTTTACTTTATATTGGTGTATAGCTGATTAAGAATGTTGTGATAGCTTCAGGTGCACAACAAAGTTACTCAGCCATACATATGCATGTATCTATTCTCCTTCAAGCTCTCCTCCCATCCACTCCCTACAAACAAAAGTCCAGGACCAGCTGGCTTCACACCAAATATACAAAGAAGAATTTAAACCAAACCTTCTCAAACTCTTCCAAAACACTGAAGAGGAAGGAATGCTCCCAAAGACGTTCTGTGAAGTCACCATCACTCTGATACCAAAACCAGACAAATTGCCAAATTCGCTGGATCATAGAGAAAGCAAGGGAATTCCAAGAAAATTCCTTGATGCTGGGAAAGACGGAGGGCAGAAGGAAAAGAGGGTGTCAGAGGATGAGATGGCTGGATGGCATCACCGCTGCAATGAACATGAACTTGGGCAAACTTCAGGAGATGGTGAGGATCAGGGAGGCCTGGCACGCTGCAGTCCATGGGGTCTCAAAGAGTCGGACACAGCTGGGCAACTGAACACCACTGCCACCACCACCACCTGTGGATGGCAATTTGTTATATAAGTGAACATTGAAATGTCTCTGGTCAATATACTTTTGCGTGACAAAAGATACATTAATACATCTCTGGTCAATAATGTGTTTAAGTGGCCATATACCCAGGCAATCCCCAGATTTAATGCTATCCCTATCAAATTACCCATGACATTCTTCATAGGATTAGAACAAATAATCCTAAAATTCATATAGAACCATAAAATACTAAAATACATAGAATTGCTAAAGCAATACTGAAGAAAAATAGCAAAGCAGGAGGCATAATCTTTCAGACATCAGACAATACTACAAAGCTACAGTACTTGAAACAACATGGTAGTGGTACAAAAACAGACATGGATCAATGGAACAGAATGAGCCCAGAAATAAACCTACACACCTACCATCAATTAACCTCCGACGAAGGAGGCAAGAATATACAATGAGGAAAAGTCTCTTCAGCAAGTATTATTGGGAAAGTTGTACAGCTGCATATAAATCAGTGAAGTTAGAACACATCCATTCACCATACACAAACTCAGAATGGCTTGGAGACTTAAAACAGGACACCATAAAACTCAGAGGAGAACAGAAGCAAAGCACACTGTGACGTAAGTCATACCAGTGTTTTCTTAGGTCAGTCTCCCAAGGCAATAGGAATAAAAACAAAAACAAGTGGGACCTAATCAAATTTACAAGCTTTTGCACAACGAAGGAAGCCATAAACAAGACAACCTACAGAATGGGAGAAAATATTTGCAAACATGTGACCAACAAGGTTTAATTTCCAAAATATATTGATATAAGCAGCTTATACACTGAAACAACAGCAGCAAAAAACAACCCAATCAAAAAATGGGCAGAAGATCTAAATAGACATTTCTCCAAAGAAGAAATACAGATTGCCAATAGGTACATGAAAAGATGTTCAACATCACAAATTATTAGAGAAATGAAAATAAAGATACAGTGAGGTACCACCTCACAGTCAGAATGACCAACATCAAACAGTCTACTAATATATGCTGGAGAGTGTGTGGAGAGAAGTGAAGTTCCTACACTGTTAGTAGGAATATAAACTGGTGCAAACCCAATGGAGAACAGTATGGAGGTTCCCCCAAGAAATTAATAACAGCTACCATGTGATCCAGCAATCCCACTGGGGGGATATATCCAAACAAAGTTATAATTCAGAAAGATACACGCACTTCTGTGTTGACAGCAGCACTTCTCATGATAGCCAAGACATGGAAGCAACTTAAATATCCACTGACAGAGGAATGGATAATGAAGATGTGGTACACAGTACAGTGGAATATTACTCAAATGCCATTTGCTGCAACATGGATAGACCTAGAGATTATCATACTGAGTGAAGTCAGACTAAGAGAAATATCACATAATGTCACTTATATGTGGAATCTAAAAAGAAAATGATACAAATGAGCTTATTTACCAGACAGAAATAGATCCACAGACATTCAAAAATAAACTTAAGAGTTACCAAAAGGGAAACATAGCAACAAGGGATAAATTAGGAGCTTGGGATTAACATATACACATCACTCTATACAAAACAGATAATCAATAAAGATCTACTGTATAGCACAAGGAACTGTACTCAAAATTCTATAATACTCTATATGGGAAAACAGCCTGAAACAGAATGGATATATATATAACTGAATCTCTTAGCCGTATACCTAAAACAACGTTATAAATCAACTGTGGTGTTGTTCGGTCAGTAAGCTGTGTCTGTCTCTTTGCAATCCCATGGACTATAGCCTGCCAGGCTTCTCTGCCCGTGGGATTCTCCAAGCAGGAATACTGGAGTGGATTGCCATTTCCTCCTCCAGGGGATCTTCCCAGCCCAGCAATCGAACTCATCTCCTGGACTGGCAGGCAGATTCTTTACTGCTGAGCCACCCAGGAAGCTAAATCAACTACACTCCAATATAAGAGAAGAAACACAAGATACTAAAACCTAGCTTGAAAAGTGAAAGTGAAGTCGCTCAGTCGTGTCCGAATCTTTGGGACCCTGTGGACTGTAGCCTACCAGGCTCCTCCGTCCATGGGATTCTTCAGGCAAGAATACTGGAATGGGTTACCATTTCCTGCTCCAGGGGATCTTCCCAACTCAGGGATCGAACCCGGGTCTCCGGCATTGTAGGCAGACGCTTTAACCTCTGAGCCACCAGGGAAGCCCAAGTTTAGTATAGGTCAAAAGAATACCTGTCACTAAACAGCCACTATTCTGTGGACTCAGAGGTCTCTACTGTGTACAAACCAGTGTTCAGTGACCGTGGGTCAGAAGGGCTGCCATGTGGGGCAACAGCTCTGCTCTCCCTCGTGGGGCGGGGGCCCTTCCACTGTGTGCTGGCGTGTACACACACCTTATTTGTGTTGTTTTATCTTCTGCAGAAGATTCAGAATAACAAAAATAACCTGTACTGTCCTAAAACATCAGGCCAACGCATGGGACTCCTCTCTACTGGAAGCCTTTTTAACACATTAATGACCAGAGATGTAGTAACACGACAAGCGTTCCTTTCTGCAAAGTCACTTCTGTCAGTGTTCTGTTAAATGCCTCTCATTGAGCTAAGAAACCAGAGCACATGAGCAGCTCTGTTCTAGCATGTTGTATGCTGCTCCCCTTTGTAATGGACGCACGGACCACGGTGTAGAGTCACAACAAAGATGAACAGGCTGTGAAAGCCTCACAGGCTGTAAAATGCCTCACGCTAATTTTTCTTGGTCTCTGTGCTGACAGTGCCCTTCACAGCTGCCATGACATCGTCTTACGAAGAAGCTACTTGGGAAGCTGGGGCTTTAGTATCGTCGGCGGATACGAAGAGAACCACACCAATCAGCCTTTCTTCATCAAAACCATCGTCCTGGGGACCCCTGCTTATTACGACGGAAGATTAAAGTGAGTCTTGTTGTGTTTAATAATGTGCTTTGTATTTACTGTGATGGACACGGTCTAGACCAAGGTCAGCTCCCAAATCCAGCCTGTTGTCCGTCCTTGTAAATAAAGTTTTATTGGAACATACCCACGCTTCCTCTTTTACCTGTCTCCCCGGGCTGCTTCTGAGATATGATGGCAGAGCCAAGTGGCCAGTCCTGAGACCAGTGACTCGCAGAGCCCGGGATGGTAACCTACCATCTGGCCCTTTACAGAGACAGATCTGCCAGGCCTGATCTAGACTGAAGCATCTTGGTACCACAGGCCAGTGCCTGTTGTGAGATAAACAGTAATGCAGAGTCATGTGGACACTGTAACCTGAAGCTTGCCCTGAGCACCTGAGTCCAGTCCTGTCATTAAGTGACTTTTTCTCTACAGCACTTATGTCAGCCTAACGCTCAATTCATGCAAGTCCACGTGGGAGGGATTTTGTTGTGTTTTGTGTTGGATCCCTGGCAGCCAGCGTGGGGCCTTGCATTCCTAGTAAAGGTTTCATCAGTATTGATGGGTGATGTGTGTGCCAGGAGTGGTGCTAGGTGCTGGCTCTGGGTTACTGCACCTTCCTAGCAGCCTGTGAGGTAAGTGCTGCTGGTGTTCCTATTTTATAAGCAAGACACTGAGGATTCAGGTTAAAAAGCTGGAAGTCGTTGACAGCAATTAATCTAGGAGTCTTGGCCATTCAGCCCCTGCCGTTGTCACCACTGGGCAAAAAGTACCCTCTCAGCCTCCATGCTGCCTTTGTCAGAGCTCAGGCACCATGAGAAGAAAGAGGCATTCCATTAGGAGATTATACAAACAGAGGAGACTGGTGACTGTTAAGTTCTTAGGACCTAGTTTTACATGCAAGGAACGGTTCTTAAAAAGTGGATGCTGACATCCTAGTCAGAGTGCTGCACAAATCGGGGAGTTTACATTTTACAAACACAGAGCAACAGCTCGAGAATACCGAAGAAAATCCAGCAGGGTCAGTGTGCTCCAGATCCCACTGTCACCTGGTAGAGATGAAAAAGTTACTTCAGGAGAAAAGAGTGGGAGGCGGGCATGAAGTAACCATTCTCTTAGCCAAGTGTTCAACCAGTCTGGGTCTCGTGTAAATTATAAACTAATTAACTTCCACTTCCTAAAAGAAGTTGAACTAGATCACAAGAAAGTAGCATATTCATATTCAAAATAAAGACTAAAAATTATAAAAGATAGAAAGGTCTTCAGATTCACCATCCATTTGTGATAATTCAGCTGAAGGACAGTGAGCATCCTTGGCTGAAACAGGTGTGGGTCTCATTTAATTGAAGCCTCGAATGAATGGGCTGTAAAAAATGAACAATGAAAACAGCAACCCCCTCCAGATGTATCATGTATTTTTAAAGGAGGAATACATGTAAATCCATGGCTAATTCATTTCAATGTATGACAAAAACCACTGCAATGATGTAAAGTAATTAGCCTCCAACTAATAAAAATAAATGAAAAAAAAAAAAGAAAAAAAAAAAAGAGGCAGCAGATTTATTCTCTTAACTATACATTGCTTAAGCTTCTGTGAAAATTACTCTGCTTGCCTTTGAAATCATCCACCAGTTGCAGGAGAGGCTGGCACGGGGGTGTCCCTAGTTGACATGGGAAAGCCAACATGGGCTTAAAAATCACCCAGATATTTCTCAAAGAAAGTCATATAGCCTGATCATCAACAGTTAATGGGTAAGTGTGCTGAACAAATCTCAGGACAACATTTCTGATACGGTGAAAACAGTGACTCTTTCTGTCTGTCGTTGTCCAGATGTGGAGACATGATCGTGGCTGTGAATGGCCTGTCGACTGTGGGCATGAGCCACTCGGCGCTGGTCCCCATGCTGAAGGAGCAGAGAAACAAAGTCACGCTGACCGTCATCTGTTGGCCTGGCAGCCTGGTGTAGATTTTGAATTTGGTGTTAAGTCAAACAGCTTCCTTTTTTGTAGGTCTTGGAAAGAAGCCCCTTTGGTTTTGTTAAGTTTCTGTTAGGGCCTGCTGACACAGCTGGGACACGCAGGGCCAAACCCACTAGGCTTGTCCTTTTATTATTAATATTTAAATGCCTCCTCCCCCCCAGTTTGCCACATTTCTCTCAGCTCAGAACCAGTCTTCCCCTAACCCTCGTGGGGTCACATTTTCAGAATCCAGGTTCTCCGTTGTCAGAATGTGAGCTGTCATAAAGAATGAAGTCTGCCCAAACTGTGAGCCAGCCGGCTGCATCAGGCGGCTTCCAGTAGCTGTTTTCAGTAACTGAGTCATAAAACGAGTTCCATGTGCCTGAGACAGGCCGAGTGGGCCGTCACTTGGGTGGCCAGTGCTGTGAGTGGCCACCTGCTCAATGTGGAAGCCTCTCCCCATTTTCATCCGTGCCAACATTTCAAACCATACTGCTTAAAAGGCGATTTTTCTGGCTTATTTTGTATCTACTTTCATCTCAGTACTCATAGATGAAGACATAAGTCTGAGACCACTAAAGGCATTTTTTGAAAATAATGTACCATTATTAGAATACTGCAGAATAAAAGATAATATTATCCAGTGAAAAAAGAATTTGGGAGGTAATTATAGTTTAGTGTTAGAGATGGTAAAAGCTGCATTTACTTGACAGTCTAAAAGATTCATTTCCAAAGGAATGTTTTGTTATGTAGGAAAATTTTAAAGCAGTTTTTGCTAAAAATCATTTTCTAGAGTTTGTATTATACTTCTATCAGCAAACTTGGCTGGGAATGTTTTTGTGATTTATGCAATTAGATGATAAAAATAAAGGCATATTGCTATTAAATGCACACTATCATTTCATATCATATCATATACATATCACATACAAATACATCTCACAGCTAATTAGAAGATAGGCCTTTTTTATTTATTCTCTTGAGCGTTTTAGAAGTCATTTCCCCCCATTATTGCTTTACTTATATTATGCACTTAGTTGTTTCAGAAAAAAGTCTGAAAGATATTAATGTCTGAAACCACTTACTCCAGATTTTAAAAAAACTTTTCAATCAGTCCTTGGTCACTAGAATGTCTCATGTTTTTTGACATGTTTTTGAAAACTGACCAGCCTATTTTGTTTATCCTTTAATCATCACAGTTGTCCACTGGAAGAATACATGAAGTGAATAAGAGGAAAGTCTGTACCTTATGGGTATTATGCATACTTGAAAAGTTTCATTTATAAACCTAGTTCAGAATCTGAGCTAATTTACAAGTGCCCTCTGTAATAAATGGTGTTAATGATCAGAGAATCTATTTCAGAACACTACAGTATATTATGAAGCATGACCATGTTACTTTAAAACCTAGCCATCACATCATTTCTGTAGCGTGTCACAGATTATTCCAGTTAGTTTTTTAATTGTTTTTTTTAAACATATCTCTTTACTAAATAAGAAATGGCAACAATGACTCTTAGGACACTCTGAGGTCAATAGTTAACCAAGAAAGAGTGGAATGCCCCTTGCAGTGTGTTACTATTCTATGGTGACTGGCTTCTGAAGCAGTCTGGTATTGCTACTTGTAACTTTGTTTTGTTACTCTAACTGACATGGAACAAGTTTTTTTTTTCCCCCTACTCCCCAGACAGAATTTTGTAGCCCACTTTGCTGTTTTTTAAAACATTTTGTAAGAATGTGTCATCCTTGGGGAGTGGCAGTCCATCAGCAAACATCCTGACCACCACTCTATTATAAATAAAAGGCTTACAGCGGACCCACAGGTCAGATGAGTATTTTGAAGGGCGACTTTTTTCCAATATTATTTTTACCGTGGAAATCTTGAAATCAGCTTAAGCTAATTTGGTTTTATTATGAAAGACTAGAGCTTTTGGTCAGAATGATGTTTGGTGATGGAAACTTGTTCATAATTTATTGTTACTGAAAAAAAAATACTCGAATTCTCTCATCTCAAGCTTCAGTTAAATGTGTTGATTTGTTCTGTGCCTTCAGTTTACATTACTTCAGGATTTTTCAAACGTGTTTAAATAATAATGTGATAATCATTTAGGGTGAAAATAAAAATCATCCTTTCCACAAGAGCAACATCTTGCACCACAGGTGCAGACTCGTGTGGTCCTTATTTTTGTTTGTGGCATTGTGCCACCCTACAGTATCCCAAGCTTGACGCCTCAGGATCATACACCCGTCTTCTAATCATCACTGCCGAAGGCGGAGCCCACTCGCTCTCCACTGACCGTTCGGTTGTCAGCCTGTGCCAGACCTCTGGACGGCGGCCACTGAGCACCAGAAATGTGGCAGGTGCCATGTGCGGAAGTGCTAATACCCTGGATGTATTGCGTTACATAAAGTTATTAACCTCACCAACTTTTTACTTTTTGAATGTCGTTACTAGGAAACTAAATCTCCGGGGTGGCTCACCTTGCATTTCTGTTGGATGCAATGCTGGTTTCCTCACCTCTTCCTCTCACAACACCTCCCAGGAGGTCCTCACTGGGGTTTCCATCCTTGTAGAGCTTTGGGTACTCCCTGCATTTGAAAAAAAAAAAAGGTTATTTTTTATTGAAAGTTGGTTCCCAATTTCCTAGTAAGTTAAAGCTCAAACCGAGGCCTCTGGTCCGACCTCAATCAGGATTTCGACAGCTCTGCAGCCACAATCGCCCCCATCACTCCAGCAGGTGCCCTGGGTCCCACCCTCACGCATGCTGGTCATCTTCCGTCCTGTGTCCCTGTAATGCTGTTCCTTCTTTGCCTGCTCACATGGTCCCATATTTGGAAGCATAGCTTGAATGCTGCCTGCTCTCGCCTCCACTCCCCAGTTTCGAGAGAATGATCCTCCATGTGATGAATCTCAGAAGGCCTCTGTGTTGGTATTTATTATGGATCTGATCACCTACTTCCAGGCATAGTTCTGAGCACCATCTTTGATTGCCACCTTGCCATTCTGAATGCGCTGATGCCCTATAACTCTCATAGTCTGTAGACCAAGCATCCTACTGCTATAGGGCCCCTAAATTCCAAACCTGAAATGTGTTTTCCCAAGCACTTGCCTGCTTCCACTCTTTCAATCCGGACTCCCCTCCATCAGCGTAACTTTAAACCCCAACCCCAGTCATCACCGACCACGTCCTCACCCTGTTCACAAGACCAGTGGTTCTGTGTTGTCAGAATGACAGCACTGCGTGACAGGCTCTCCAACACCTGGCCCCCGCCTTCTCTGCCTCACTGCTAACCCACCACCCACACCCACCCCCTGTCTTCCTGTGGCACTGTAGCTGGCCTGGCTCAAGTGACATTAATGTGAGAAATCATTATCAACCTCTCAGGGTGAGTACCTCTCTTCTAAAAGATTCTACTAGCCGACTCACTGGAAAAGACCCTGATTCTGGAACAGATTGAGGGCAGGAGGAGATGGTTGGATGGCATCACCAGCTCAATGGACGTGAGTTTGAGCAAACTCCAGGAGATGGTGAAGGACAGGGAGGTGTGGCGTGCAGCAGTCCACGGGGTCACAAAGAGTCAGACACAGCTGAGTGACCGAGCAACGACAAAACTTTTAACAGTCATGGATGTGCACTGGAAAATTTGTCAGGCAGGTGTTTGATTACCACTGTTTTAAAGCAATTTTTAAAACTAGACATTAAATACCAGATTCTATACCTTCTGAAGAAAAGTTATCCCAGAGAGAAAATGTGGGCCTTCTGGGCTTTTCTGCTTCAGGGTCCCATGAACCACCAGTTGTCAAGTCTCCTTAGGCTTTCCTTGGCTGTGAGGTTACTCTTGACTGCCCTTGTTTAGGAAGATCTTGAAAGTGTTGAAGAGGATGGTCAGGGACATTGTAGAACACCCTCCATCAGCATTGTCTGCTGTTCCTTGTGATTAGACAGGTTATGGTTTGGGAGAGTAAGAGTACCATGTCCCCCTGTCCTGTCAAAGGTACCTGCTGTCAACAGGATTTATGACCACTGCTGCTGCCCTTGACCACCGGGCCCAACTCTGTCGGGCTTCTCACAGTAAAGTGCTCTTCCCTCCAATCCTCCCTCTCCACCCCAAAGCTCTGTCCCCGCCTGCACTGCCGACTCCAGTCACCCCTGCAGTCTAACGTGGTGACCACTGTTGTCCCTCCTTGTCTTCTCCAATTAGTCATTATGATTACTCTGAACAGGTGAGATTTGTTTAGATTTAGTTTCTAACTACATGAAATAACAGAAAAGCTGACACCAGCATCGTTAGTAGTAGTTCTACCATTAGTAGTAGTTCTTATTACTATCGTGTCCCACAAGGAACACAAGGAGAAAAGTTATTGACACCCCCATCTTCACCACCACACTATTCACAATAGCCAAGACCTGGAAACAACCTATCTGTCCATCAGTGGATGAAGACAGTGTATGTAAACAGTGAAATACAGTTCAGCCATAATAAGTAGATCTTCCCATGTGGGGCAGCATGCATGGACCCCAAGGGCATCTTGCTAAGTGAGATAAGTCAGAGAGAAAAAAAATACCAGACCATCTCATATGTGGAATCTTAGACTGCCCGAGTTGGGGTGCAGGTGTGGGAGAAACAGTTGAAAGGGATCAAGCAATGTAAACTTGGAGTTTATAAATCAGTGATTGGGGGGGGGGCTTCAGAGGGAGGGATATTTGTATACACACAGCTGATTCACTGTGTTGATACAGCAGAAACAGCACTGTAAAGCAACCTACGTGTGCCAAGTTTGTTCAATCGTGTCCATCAGTGGATGGACAGCTCTCTGTGACCCCATGGACTGTAGCCCACCAGGCTCCCCTGTCCATGGGATTCTCTAGGCAAGAATACTGGAGTGGGTTGCCATGCCCTCCTTCAAGGGATCTTCCTGACCCAGGGATTAAACCCGCATCTCTTATGTCTCCTGCATTGGCAGGTGGATTCTTTACTACTAGCACCACCTGGGAAGCCCCAACTA